TTACATTACATTACATTACATTACATTACATTACATACATACATACATACATACATACATACATTACATACATACATACATACATACATACATTACATACATTACATACATACATACATTACATACATACATACATACATACATACATACATACATACATACATACATACATACATACATACATACATACATACATACATACATACATACATTACATACATACATACATACATACATACATACATACATACATACATACATACATACATACATACATACATACATACATACATACATACATACATACATACATACATACATACATACATACATACATACATACATACATACATACATACATACATACATACATACATACATACATACATACATACATACATACATACATACATACATACATACATACATACATACATACATACATACATACATACATACATACATACATACATACATACATACATACATACATACATACATACATACATACATACATACATACATACATACATACATACATACATACATACATACATACATACATACATACATACATACATACATACATACATACATACATACATACATACATACATACATACATACATACATACATACATACATACATACATACATACATACATACATACATACATACATACATACATACATACATACATTACATACATACATACATACATACATACATACATACATACATACATACATACATACATACATACATACATACATACATACATACATACATACATACACATACATTACATACATTACATACATACATACATACATACATACATACATACATACATACATACATACATACATACATACATACATACATACATACATACATACATACATACATACATACATACATACATACATACATACATACATACATACATACATACATACATACATACATACATACATACATACATACATACATACATACATACATACATACATACATACATACATACATACATACATACATACATACATACATACATACATACATACATACATACATACATACATACATACATACATACATACATACATACATACATACATACATACATACATACATACATACATACATACATACATACATACATACATACATACATACATACATACATACATACATACATACATACATACATACATACATACATACATACATACATTACATACATACATACATACATACATACATACATACATACATACATACATACATACATACATACATACATACATACATACATACATACATACATACATACATACATACATACATACATACATTACATACATACATACATACATACATACATACATACATACATACATACATACATACATACATACATACATACATACATACATACATACATACATACATACATACATACATACATACATACATACATACATACATACATACATACATACATACATACATACATACATACATACATACATACATACATACATACATACATACATACATACATACATACATACATACATACATACATACATACATACATACATACATACATACATACATACATACATACATACATACATACATACATACATACATACATACATACATACATACATACATACATACATACATACATACATACATACATTACATACATACATACATACATACATACATACATACATACATACATACATACATACATACATACATACATACATTACATACATACATACATACATACATACATACATACATACATACATACATACATACATACATACATACATACATTACATACATACATACATACATACATACATACATACATACATACATACATACATACATACATACATACATACATACATACATATATACACACATGAGGGTTGATCAAAAGGTCCTTCACCTGGCATGACCATCCGGGAAAACGAATACACCCACAGGGAGAAAGTTACCCATGGTCAAAACTGGGGCCCTAAATGCATCCAGGTCCTCCAGTAGAGAGGTGGAATAAGGGTACCCTCTTTTTCTGTAGTCTAGTTTAGTAAGGGAACCCTCCCCCAAAAAAGGGGAGAGAAGGGCACTACTGGGGGACCTAGCCTCACATGGCAAACGTCGCTTTGCCGAAAACTTCGGCCCTGCCCCACCTACGTGGGGATCTCCCAGGCTGTGCTCCCCGTTGGCCCGCGCGTATTCGCCCAAATAGTCCGCCAAGCCCTGCACCTCAAGTCTGTCTCCGAGTCCGGGGGGTATCAGGTTGATCCTCTAAACAAGCAAGTGAAACATGAAACAACCATCTGGCCATATAAGGTTGGCAATGATTGCCGCAGTCTTCTTTGAATATGAGGGTAGTTCGCCAACGGGCAGGGAGCTGTTGGTGCTTCCATTGTGGTTGCAAGAGGTCCTTAAACCCATATGGCCATGGCTCAAAATCCGAATCATACCCCCAGTGAACATCCCAATCCCCACTAGAATAGGTCCTAAAATGGGTGGTGCACCTACCCCAAAATGGTACCATTGGTTTTGACCCCCAGCCATATGGGTATGGGTCAAAAAAAAAAACACCAGGGGACCGCAGGTTTTAGTCCATGTGTCCATTTCCCAGGGTTCCATTTTGGGTACCTGTTTTTGACCCACAGCCATATCCAAGCACAAAACCCTGAACCGGGAGTGCCTTCAAGCTGGAAAACTTCGATTTGGCTTCCCTTCCGATCCTCCGTGCCAGAAAAAAATCGGGGACATGTTTGTGGTTTGTAGGGATCGCCAACATGGGCGACCAAGTGGCTTGCTGCTTGCTTTAGGCTTCCCTTGAACCGTAAAGCCGGTGGATCCTCTCAATGGGTACCCCAAATGGCCCGAAGGCACTTCAGGTCAAATGGACTGCGGTATGCCCGACATATCGCAAAACCAAGCCTACAAGGTACATGTTGCAGGGTTTTTTGTTCCCTAGTTGCATTTGGGTCAGTCATTTTTAGGGGATCCCTGAAAAATGCTGGTGTTCCTGTTGGTTTCCCTTTAACCCCTCCAAAAAACAATGGGTACAAGAACAGACCCCATGCTTGAGCGAATCTATCGACTCTCCGGCCAAAACTTCTTGGAGTCACCTGACTTCGGGTGCGGAGCCGTGGCCGGGGGCTCCGTTTTGGCCGGCGATTTCCAGGGAACTTCCATGGGCCTTCGGTCATTTGACACCCCTCGGAGCCCTACCCTACGCGTACCCAAAAAGCGTCAAGTCCGGCCACTGGTGGTTTGTTGAGATGCTAAGCTGCAGGAGGGTAATGGCGACCACGAATTCAGAAGCCTTGCAAATGAGTTGGAGGGACGTTTTACAGGAGGGGAAGGATTTCCCCCTACGTTGCGGCACCCCCCATAAATCAACAATTTGTTTCATCAACCCAGGCTCCCATTCCCTGAACACATGACCATCTAGACCCATTGGTGGTCCGAACTGCGAGACTCGGTTTGGAGCAAGCGGCCAAAAGCAGCGAGAAGATGAACATGACCTACGCGGGCCGATGGAGAGCTCGACAGAAAAAGAAGGAAACAAAAACGTGACGTCTGCTAGACATACATGCAGCTGGACCGTTGGGTGAATCAAATGGAATCCCTTGATGTCGGTTGTTGCACAATGGATCTGGTGTTTTTTTTTTTCACATTTGGTTGTTCTAAACGATTGCAAAGTTTTATTTTGGGGGTATCTTTCAACTCCCCCAAACGGTGTTCTACCCCCCATTCTACAACCCCCGTATGCACCTCAGCCTGAAATGAGAGATACCCAAAAATAGTTGACAGCTGGTGAGGTGCGGAACCCATCGCAGAACCTGCTTGCTCCTTAAATTAGATGTTTATCGTAGGCCAGATGTTGTTCATATGTCCGGGAAAAATCGGTAGCTCCCAAAACCTAATTGGCGGCTGGTGACCTCCTACCACTGTGGTCATTAGTTTGACTTTTTCCAGGGGTTATCAAAGTCAGAAAATGTGGTTGTTTCCCTTTAACCCACCACTTAGGGGGTGACTTTGCTCATGGTAACATAATGAGGCCAGTACCAACAATTCATCTGTCCGGGAAACTCCGGTTACCCCCAAAACCTAATTGGTTGCTGGTGACCTCCTACCAACAAGGATTTGCTCGTCGATTGGTAGACTGAAGCACGTGTCGCATGTGACCTGCTTTCACCGGCTGAGGATTCGGCGAAGAAGAGCATTGCGATGCACCTCACGCTGCAAGGTGGCCAGTGCCAGCACACAACTGCTGGCCAACTGTTTTTTGTTTCTCACTTGGTGCTGATGCTCTATTTTTGAGGCTACTACTTGTTTTTGTGTTAGTATGAAACAAAAACCAAAAGGAAAACCGCAATTGCGGGAGTTGCCCTATATTGACAAATTCCCGCTTGGTGTTTGACCAATAAATTATTTGTACTAACCCAAACGGATCCGCAACTCACAGGGGGAGCAGGGGGGGGAATCTGACTTGACTCAACGTGTTGCACATGTCAGGGCCAGACATGTTCGTACTGAATTCATTTCACCATCTTACGGGGCTCCCCAAAACCCGATCCCAGTCACATGCCATGGACCTGCACTTACAACCCATATCCCCCGTAGCCCACATGCATGATCCGAACACACCAGGGACGCTCTGGAGGCGTCCTTGGGGACTATTGGAAGCCACCGAGACCTTAGGGCACTTCGTCAACTCCAAGGGCGCTTCTACGGACCCTTGGGAGCTGCAGGATGCAGGCAGACCTTCTCTTTTTCTCAACTCCTTTCCGGAAAGGACCCCTTTTTGTGGGGATCCATGATGATTTGCGGAGTAATGTCGATCTCGGATGTATAAATTCGCCCTATAAATTGCGGGGGGCTACCCTCCAAAAGTGAGGGTTCCCCACCAAACCCAGGGACGACCCCTACGAATAAACTCGGGTTGATG